AATGGTGTGAGAAGACCTTATATCGTCTATCTACGGACCTTGGGTTCGATCGTTTGATGAAAGATCTGGAAGTTATAACTAGGGAAATAATTTCTTTTAATCTATATTTAGAATTTGTGCGGGGAAAAAAAAACGCAACCATGGCCACAAATGACAACGGGACTAACGGCGTGGAAACGGAAATCGCCAAGGGCGAGCGGGATGACGTATTCGAAGACTACCCGCGTTTGGAAAGGAAAAGGGTACAAGATAAGTTACGCTCGAAGGTGTCAGCGACGAGAATCGCGAAAGTAAATGAAATATGTCATATGTTTCGAAATGAACTTTTCGTATAATTACATAATCTAATAGCAGACGGCAAAAACTGAGCAAGAATATGCACGGCGCAATACGATGGCAAATAATAAGAAATTAATAATAATAAATAATATCTATTTACAATAAATTAATAATAATAAATATTTATGATAATTAATAATAATAATAAATTAACAGTAAATGTCAAATAAGAATCTCTCGACAAAACTCAATCATCTATATAGCTGACTCTTTAAATATTACTTTTAAAAATAAGGTATTTAAAGAGATTATACTTAAGATACCTTAAAATATCTTTAAAATACCTTATTTAAATATATTAAATATTTCCTTATGATTTTAAATATCTAATTTTAAGACCTCTTTTAGGTTTTAAACACCTAAGGCACCTTTAAATATTTTATTTAAAAATAAGTAAAAGTAATATTTAAAGATGTATTTTCTAAAAAGGTATGTCAGATGATCAAGTTACGTAGCAGCAAAGAGTGATGGCAAAAAGACCTGTATTTTCGCTCATTTTTTGGACCTCGATTTTCAAACTTTTTTATGCCAAATAGTACTGTGACGGGACATTAATCCCAGAGAAATTTTAAAATGAGCATAGGCACGGTTTTGGAGATATGTAGGGGTGAAAGTGATGGTTTCTCATAATCCATGAAAGTACATGAAACTCTTCAAGTGTTCATACCAAGGAATAAAATATATATAACGAAGTGAAACACACACATATCGTTTCTTATAGATTTTTTTACGCCGGATTCAAATATGACCTTAGTTTTTGTCTATCATGAAAATTCCCCAAGATAGATGGAGTTGACGTGAAACTTGACACCTATCTACTATCTACTATCTACTAACTTGACACCGCCTCTCACGGATCGGGCTGCTTTTTTACTATGAGTCCCCTTGCCTCTCTTACAGATTGGGGTGCTTTTTCAATGTGAGTCCCCTTGTCTCTCACATATTGGAGTGCTTTTTTAATGCGAGTCCGCTGGCCTTTCACATATTGGGATGGCGACAAAAAATACCCTCATCAATAATACGTGAACTTCAACCACGCATTCTTCCTTATGCAATATACCCTGACTGGAAATCGTCACTTTCACCCCTTTGTATCTCCGGAACCGTGCCTATGCTTATCTTGAAATTTTACTGGGATTAATGTTTCATCTAATAGTACTATTTGCCATGAAAAAAAGTTTGAAATTCGAGGTCCAAAAAATGGGCGAAATTTGCCATCACTCTTTACCATCGTGTTCCGTTAGCAGATTCCGTTGTATTTTGTTCTGGCGAAAATTGTGGCAGACACTTTGCAAAAATCTGCTCTTCGACCATCCGGGACTATTATAATTCCGTTACTAATCTCTCGCTTCTTCGCATAGCGCAATGTACCGCGAGTTTCCGCGACATCCGCGTCAACTCGGATCGCAGAACTAGCACGGCCGACGAAGCAGCGCGCGCTGAACACGCTGAACGAAAAAGCGATGACGTTGCCGCCGGCGTTCGTGGATAATCTCGTCAAGATCGTCGAAGCCGAGTCCTGCTTAACTCCGGAGTAATATGTCGTATCTCACAATCAGATAGATTTCGCCTGACAATGCGTCGGACTCTCTCTGTGACGTCCGAGTCCGTAGAAATTTTAATGCTAATCCTAAAAACAAAAATTCTATTTGATTTCTCGTAGAGAAGCCGCGCGAATTCGTCGCCAAAAGGAGCGCAGAACGAGGAAGGCGACGCGACTACCGCTCAGGAAGAAACGAACCGCAGAAGAGATCGCGGAATTCGCGGAGGATATCACGCGCGCAACGACGCTGGATCATGACGCAACGATATCCCAGTACCAGATGGCGGAACGTTTAGTCAAGAGTATTTTAGAATATCGGCGCGAGACGCGGGAGGGCATCCCCGAGATCGCAGACGTATTAATGAAGCGTTTAATATCGATTGATGGATACGCGGACACAAAAAACGGCGACCGTGCGACGCAGCAGTTGCAACTTTTAGCAAACGTGGTAGCCCGTTGGATAACTGACGTACTTGCCGAAGTTGCTGAGACCTATAAGGAAGCTATAAAAGAGTATTATAAGAAAAGGAAGATGCGAAGATTGGACGTGAATAATAACAACAAAACTAACAATAAGAATAAGAAAACTGAGAATTGGAAGCAGATGGGTCAGATGAAAGAAATAGAAAAGCAGGAGGGGAAAAATTATGAGACAACAAAGAGAAACAATCCGGCGAAAGAGAAAAACGAAGATGAGCAAAAGGGGGATGAGAGCGGCAAAGAAAAAGACGAAGCAAAGGAGAAGGCGAGAGAGAGAGAACAGTTAGATGACAGAGAAGCGAAAAGTGAGAGGGTGACAGAAGAAACGGTTGAAAGAGAAGAGAAGGACGAAGAAACTAAGAAAAGAGAGAAAGGAGAAGAGGGCAAAGAAGTGCGTGAAAATGAAGAGAAATAAAATAAAGAAAAAGAAAAAAACGAAACGACAACAGAAGAATAAAAAATGAAAGATTATTAATAATTAATCAAAGATAAAATAAAAATGATATAAAAAAGATGAAATTGAGAGATTTACGCAAAGGCGTAGAGGAAACTTCTGGAGATGTATAAGCGAGGAAAGAGAACGGTTTAGGATAATTGAAAAAGAAAGTAAATATATTACAGATTTTTATATTATTATATAAAGTTACATTTACAGATATATCATTATCAGATATCATTATCGACTAATAGACCGAGGAAATACCTGTTTCAACTTACAATTTGTCGTTTCAGTTGAGGGGACAAACAGCGGTGGCTCAAAGGCAGGGATTTACTTCATCTACGTAAATTTCGAAAAAAGTCAAATCGATCATGAGAGTCATTACATTAAATATATCGTAAAATGCAGTATAAATAATACCATGAGTATTTAAGCTGAAATCATCGTAGTGCCCTTATTTTCTCCTTCACGCTTCTGTAGTATAAGGCTGGTATTCATATTTCATCTTATTTCAACCTTATTTTGATCTTATTTCAAGACGATTTTAAAATAATGTCTTAAGATGCTAATACGGCTCTATGGCCGGTATTCATAATCAGATCTTATTTCAAGACCCCGTCTTAAGTAATATCTTAAGATGCGGCTCTGTGATTGGTTAATGACATCTTATAATTGTACTTAATTAAGAATGGTCTTAACCCTTAAAGCGCACATGGGGTGTAGGATACCCCACTCCGAACTTTGTGCTCTGATAAGTCTCATTAAAATGTCTTTTTCAATAATTTTTTAAACAATGTTAATTTTAAGAAATCGCTATAACTTTTGTTTA